GAATAAATAATAGGAAATAAAACTTCATGAAGCAGAAAATAAAAGGCAGATTATACAGATGTGGCAATTTGAAGGATCATTGCCTCTGTCCTCTTTTTAACTGCTGCATCTGGAGTTTTGAAGTAGCTTATCCTCTCCCTCCCTCTGCCAGGTCCCCGCCTGGCTGGAGGCCCCCACAGGGCCAAGGCACGAGTGGGGACAGCACCTCAAACGCTCCGCCGCTGGCATTTCCTAGCACTAGCACGGCTGCCCGGCCCGGGCAAACACACAGGGTCAGGGCAGTGGGTGAGAGGGCAGCTGGGGTCTGGGCGAGCTGCTGAGCCAGGCGAGGGTGTGGCTGTGTCCCCAACAGCAGGGGCGGTGTCTGTGAAAGAGCTGGGGCACGTTTAGGACAATGCGGGCTGCGGTGGGTGTGTGGATGGGCGGATGACACCGTAAACCTAGACTGGCAGGAATGGGGTAGGGATTCGTGCCCCTGTGAGCAAAGGGGCCTCTGGCAAGGGGGTTCTGGAGGAGTAGCACTGGAAGGTCTCCTCAGCTTCTTTCCCCTCTTCATCAAAATTCATTCGCTAAGCCTCAATTTGACGCTGTGCCAGGTGCTATATAAACAGACATGGTCCCTGCCCTTAAGGAATTTCCAACCTAAGACACACACACTGACATTTTGTTTATTTTATTTTAAGTATTAATGTATTCCTCTCCTGATCCCAGGGAGGATTTGAGGTAGATCATAGGAAACGCATGCAATACATTAGTAAGATACAAGTGACAAAGGAAGCACCGGGGCCACAGAAAAGATACCTCGGGTGGCTCAGCGGGTCCTGAGCAGTGCAAGGATGACCTGGAAGTTGGCCTTGCGTCTCTCAGGGGTTGAGTGAAAGGCCACCGTAGTCATGTACTTGGCTGTCATTCATGAGGAAAAAATGTTCCAGTTCTCAGAAGAAGCAGCATTTTTGCTAACATTTGGCTCTAAAAGAAATTATTCACCTTGACCCTAATTGAGGAGACCAAACATGGACGATCCTCTCAAAGACATGGCAGGCAATTCAGGCCCAGCTTCCTGTGTGCATCCAGTAGGGACAGCTGAGGTGATCACTGCCAGATTCTGTTCTGTGACAGTGCTGGAATCCAGACTGTCTTGGGCAAATAAGGACTCTGGACCCTTCCACCATGCCTTCAGCATTCGGACTTTTTTCCAGTGGGTTTTGAACCATATATGGAGCGCATGGCCATAGCCATGACCAAAGTCTCAAAGGAAATACTAATAACTAAAGTCAATGTGCAAAACTTGGTCCAATCCAGGGTCAGGGCAGTAAGTGCAAATGGGGAGGGGAAGAGGGCCGAGAGACACGGGCTGACTTTCCTGCAGACCCTGGATGAAGAAGCCGTCTCTGTCCATGGACCTCCTACCAACTCTCTGTCCCTCTACAGATGGGGACAAAAAGATCAAACAGCCAGGAATCTTTATACGGATACCAAAAGTGAGGCCAAAACCATGTGGGTCAAGTCCGCTTATGTGTCCTGCTGCCTTGTTGATCAAAGCAATGAGTGAACCATCACAGAATCATGTATACAACAGGGGAGTCAGGAAAAGATAGCACTTAAGTTCAGTCTGACAGGTAATAGATAACAACTGTATAGTACTTTACACTTCCCAGAAAGATTTGCTTAGGAGCCGCATTTCCCACATTTAAAAGCTGCAGTTCTGGGATACAGTACAGAGATCAGGACTGAGGCTTTGATTAGGAAACTCCCTTAGAAGCCACCCTGGAAGGCCTGCAGTCAGCCAGGCAAGACCTCCAAGGCCATACCTTGGGGGAAGATCGAGTGCAGGGAGTGGGAGGAGCAGAAAGAAAGGCAGGGAACACAGAAAGGGAATATGTAAGAAAGTAGAAGAATCAGGAGAACCAGGAGAGCTGGAAGACCAGGGAGGATATTCTTTTGTGGGGTTTTGTTTGTTTGTTTGTTTTTGCTTTTGTTTTTTGCAGTACTAGGGATTGAACCCAGGGCCTGCACACTGAGTTACATCCCCAGCCCGTTAGGCTTTTCACTTTGAGACAGGCTCTTGCTGAGTCACCAAGCTGCCCAGGCTGGGCCATAACTTTCAGTCCTTCAACCTCAGCCTTCCAGACAACTCGAGGATAAAGTTTTTGATATCGGACTCCAGATACCAGGTGTGGGAAGGAGGCCCTGGAGATGCAATGGAAACCAGCACCTTGTGGGAGCAGAGAGACAAGAAAGAGGACAAGAGAGGAGAGGAAAGGAGGGGAGGGGAGGGGAGGGGAGGGGAGGAGGGAAGGAAGTGGAAGGGAGCAGAGAGGAGTCTGAGGTGATCGAGAGTGACCGGCAGAGGAGACGCGAGGACAGCTTTGTGGAAGATGTGGCGCCTGGATTTTAGTTGGGTTTCTCCCTAACATCTCTTCCCCCTAGCCTGTCCTCGGAATGCTCAGAATTTTCAACAGTTGATGCCAATCTCCGTCCTTTGGGTGGCGTTGGCGGCACTCCCACCATCTCCCAGTGTGGACTTTGATTATCTTGAGCCCCTGGCCTTGACTTAAGCGATTGGCTTCAATCTGGGCAGACAGCGCAACGAAGCTCCATTCCTGGTCGGAAGGCTGAACCTCGTAGGGAGCAGGTAGTCTCAGCCGCTAGATTTGCAATGAGAGAAGACATCTTTTTTTTTTTTTTTTTTTTTTTTTTTTTTGGTTTTTCTCCGGTACTGGGAACCGAACTCACGACCTTGCGCTTGCCAGGCAGGCGCTTTTGCCGCTGAGCTAAATCCCCAGCCCCGAGAGAAGACATCTTGGGAGCTACTGGGGCCATCTTCATACCATGAGAGTTGCTCCTGCCTCCTAGGCGTGGGAGCTGTCCCCAAAGAACAAGAGAGAACTAGGGTGTTGAATGAGTCCTAAATTACCCAGTTATTGGTACCAATCATTGTCCTCATCTGCAAAAACCCACTGGAGCTCAGATTCCATATATTTACAACCTCCAGGCAGAGGAAGATCTGAGAGCAGAGGTCTGGCTTCAAAACAGGATGACAGGTTTGCGGGCAGGACCTGAGCCACAGCCCTGAGAGGAAAGGGCGGGTGCACGTGGTGGGAGCAGAGAGGCTGTGTACTAATAGCTAACCTGCCAGGCTTTCCTCCTGTGCCAGGCATTGTTCTGAGATGTTTACGTGCATAATTTGAGTTAGTCCTCATGGAGCTCCTGTGAGGTAAGCAGTGTCATTATCCCCATTTTATAGGGAAGTAACCAAAGCACAGGGGGCAGTCTAGAAAACATGCAACCCCAGGTAAGTGGGCTCCAAGACCTGGCCACTGAGGCCACATTGCGCACTGGTGGACAACTGGGGAGATCAGGTGGTCAGCAAGATGCAGGGTCATGGAGGTGAGGGGGAATGGGAACATGTTGGATTTGATGCTCAAAGGTTAGCAGAAGCCCCTGGGGTGGTGTTTCAGAGAGGGGTGGGGTGGAAGCCAAATGGTAGGGTGTGAACGGGGGCCAGGTAGGCATGGGAACCGGGGGCTGGTGGGAGACAGCTGGCGAGGACCCACCATCCTGTGCATTCATCTCAGAAATGAGGACAGCAGGTGTCAGCCACAGGAATCAGCACAGCAGAATGGAGCCTGGTGTTTTCATATGCAGGTGTTTGCAAGGCAAGAAAATGGAGAGAGAAGCGCGTAGGCCCAAAGACCTGGATATGAGCCCTGCGACAGAGAAGTCCGCAGCAGGCAGGAGAGGGCACAGCGAGGAAGGGCAGTCACAAGTAGGGACCACAGCTGCTCCTCTAGAAGAGAAGGGACACGGAGGGGACAGGGAAGGCATGGGCCGGTAAGATGGCAAGGAACACAGACATCCAGAAACGCTGGGGGCAGGGTTGGGGAGGTGGCACTGGGGACAAAGGCCATTCAAGAAACCCTTAAATACTGTTAGCATGCACCCGGGGCAGGGCAGCAGAGCCAGGGAGAGGAAGGGCCAGGTGTGGTCAGGTTGTCCCAAGACTCTAAGCATTGTTTTTATAGTTTCCATTTCAGTTCATCTAAAGATTTTGAAATCATTTTAGATTTAGGCGAGTTGCACCAGTAGCATGGTGAATCTTTTGACCTGGCCTCAGCATCCTGATGGCCCTGTTTCCCCCAGCCCCGTCTCCCTGATCCACCAGCCCAGCTCCTGTCAACCCCCACATGGTCCCCATCTCCACTGGCAGAAGCCAGAGTCCCCGAAGCAGAGGGCTCAGGCCTTGCTCGAGTGTGGTGATCTTTCCATCTCCTTCGGTGCCTGGCAAACAACAAATAACCGTCAGCACCTGCAAACGGTGAACAGAGACGGGGCGGCCAGGAAGAGGCTGGGCACCTTTAGACTGGAGAAAAACCTGAACCCCACTTTTGGAGCCTGGGCTCAGCACCACGAACCTCTGCTTTCCTGACCCCTTCTGCAAAGGGACGGTCCCACGCTCCACAGTGGTACAGAGGGGGTGTGCGAGGAGACAAGGTCGCACAACTGTTCCATACCCAGGATCGGGACTGTGGGTTCACCCTGCTCCCGTCTCCCAAGGGTGCTGGGAAGGGGGCGGGCTCTCAACTGCCTCCACAGGCTGCAGAAACTTCTTCCTCTCTGGTGAACGTCCCCATCCTTTGAGTGGGAAAGCCTTCCACAGATGGTAGGAGCCCTGGCTTGGGTCACCGAGACTTTGGGCAAGTGGAAGATTCTGGTGGGTTATGGTGATAGCCCGAGGCTGCAGAGCTCAGTAGCATACACCTGCTCAGCCAGGAGCTAGGGACATGCAAGCCCGCCCTCCAGTGGTCACATGTTATAACTGCAAGCCAGCAACCTCTCCCTACTTCCCCAGGTCTTCCTGGCCAAGTTCCCTGGCAGCATTGACCCGATGAAGCCAGGCAGCCAGGATCGCCTGGTGTGAAGGTTTCATATGCCCAACCCAACTGAAACGAAGATGCCAACTCCACGTGTGCAGAGAAGCATCGAGGCATCACACACACTTAGACAAACCCGTACCTTTTATTGTGGTGGTATAAATAAGGACACACAGTCAAGGAGGTCAAAAAACCCACTCAAGCCCATTTTGCTTGTACACATCAGACCTGGGCCAAGGCACGACGCTGAGTTTACACCTCAGTAAAATGAGATTCCTGGACTCGTGAACAGCCGTTCACTGCGACTACACCTCAGTTATGCAAGGAGCTTTAAACCCACACAGCCTTCGGCCCAACAGGCCCCCCGAGGCAGAATCCCTGGGTGGGAGACAGGAATTGTCTTCCCAGAAAGACAAACTGCATCTCTATCCTGACAGCTGGGCAACAGCGAGCGGACTATCAACTCACAGAGTCGGGGACATGTTTCATTCACCTCCAGACTGCCTAGTACTGGGGCGTGTGGAGTATCCAGGAGTATTTGTGAAATCAATGAGCGTGTGAGAAAATGATTCTGAGCTTCCATCCACCTTTGACAGCCTGTGACTTCGCAAGAACACACAGAGCATGCTACACACGCGCAGGAACGTTCCCGCCGCACAGGAGGACACAGCCTGCCACACTGCAGGTGTGCCCAGCTGCCCCTCCCCGCACCACACACTTATGCACACTTCCTTCTCTGTTCGCCTGTATTTACTGCACACCCATTGGGTGCATGGCCCAGCTCAGGCCCTGGCCAGAGGCAACTTCGGGGCTCCCGAGGCCAGCCCCACACTGCGGCAGGCATTATCTGGAGGGAGGTGGGTGGCCCAGCAGGAAGGCAGGAGAGGCCGTGTGGCAGCTGCAGGGCAGCGGGCAGGCAGCCCACTGGTACACTTGGCTGAACAGAAACAATGGTGGTGGCTCCCTCCAGCCCAGCCTCCTTCCCACAGGCAGGGCCCCAAGTCCCTGGTCTCGGAACCTCCCCTGGAGAACAGGTCCGGCTGGGAGGCAGCCAGAGGACAGGACGAGGGGACTTCCTGGGAGGGCAGCAGAGCCTGGGGGAAGTGGCTAGGGGGAGGAAGGTGTCCTGGTGCCCTCAGCAGTGCAGCTGTGAGGGGTGTGCAGAAAGGGATGCATGAAGTGTCTTCCATGCCTGGCCAAGGCCCTGGTCCCCAGCGTCCATCCTATCCTACACACCTCACAGCTGCAGCTCTGGCCAGGTAGAACCCCTCAGGGATCTGTGCTCACCTTTCACCCTCCACCCTTGCCAGCTGGCTGCACCTGGAGAACCACCTTCTCTGCTCTCGGAAACAAAGGGGCCCTGTTCCCGGCGCTCCAGGGTTCTCCAGAGCCCCAGAGGCCCTTGCTGCACTCCACTGACCAGCAGCTGAGCATCAGGTTCTCTCGTGCGCCTGCAGCATGGACAGCTCTAGGGGAAGGAGCCAGGGAGACAAAGGTGCAGAGCCTGCGGCTCCCAGACAAGCTTGCTGAGGTCCCTGCCAGAAGGCTGCCCCCTAGTGGGCAGGGCTGGGAGACACCGCTCCCTGGGGTCACTTGGGTTCTCAAGAGTCGCTGCTCTGTTTTCCCTGTTCTCTGGGCCTCTCTGGTGGGTTACCTAACAGTCCTCAGGGCTGGGGCTCTCCTGGTTGGCCTGTCCTGAGCCCTCCTCCAGGTTAAAGTGAGCACCGGAAATGAAGTCACCCTGGTTCTGAGGAACGGGGGTGACAGGATGAATGCTGGGAGCGGAGCCCAGTCCTCATTCCACCTCCTTCTTCCCTCAGGAGTGGCCAGGGCTGGGCTCAGCAGCGACTGCCATGGCAGTGGTGGGCAGGCACAGCGGCATTAGGGAAGCTCCAGTGAGCTGGGGAATGAATGGGGCCACAGGGAAACAAGCGCTGCCCCTCAGCAGAGAAGGGAGGCGCCTGCGGCCTCATTGCGGACCCAGTGAAATGAGGCGCCTCTGCGGGCCAGGGTCTCAGTCTGCCCCAGAGAAGGGCCAGTGTCTGTGAGTTGGCACCGGCTTCACAGCTGATTGCGGTTCCGCTTGGGGATGATCTTCCTGTAGGTTCTGCGCTCGGAGATGTTGCGCTTCACCTTGGCGGTGGTGGGGGCCTCATCCTGGTGCAGGGAGGGGCTCGAGTGGGACTTTTTCAGGCTGGGTTTGGGTTCCCGGGCATCTTCAGCTTCCCTCCCCAGCCGCTCTTCCCAGAGATCCAGGTCCCCGGAGGGGCAGTGCAGGCGAGCCACCAGCAGCTGCACGTATGTCTCGTAGCGGGTTTTCTGCAACACATGGGTCAGAAGGAGGCTGCAATCACGAGGGACAGCTTGCAGGTGTGTGCCGCTATGGAGTCAGAGAGCTCTGCAGACAGAGGGCCATGCCAGCAGCCTCCGCACGGTGCTTGAGCAATCAGGCTCTGCAGGGTGCACCTCTGGATCACATTATGATCGTACAAACCAGCCCGGGCCTGTTCCAATAACCAACGTGCTGCAGCGCTGTAACGGACATCTCCACACCACGTTCCACCTCCAAGGCAAGTCCCTCTGCCTGGGATGTGCGCAGCATTACAGCGGAGCAGCTCGCGTCCGGCCGGAGCCCTCATGGTCTGAGTAGCGTGTTAACACTTGGCATCTGTAGAGCGTGATGCCTGCTACCCTCATCTATTTAACACTCTGTAACGAGCACCCTTAGGAGACCTTGGATTTACAAAGTGTCTTCTCAGCCTCCACTGGATCCTCACCTAAGCCCTGGCTGGGCATAAACCATCATCTTTGATTTACAAAGGAGGAAATGGGACCAGAGAGGACGAATGCCCAAGGGCCCCAGCTGGGCAGCGGTGGGGCGAAGTTGGGTTCTTTCAGCCACACCACCGAGGCCTCTGGGGAAGGGGGCACTCTCAGCCATGGGATCCCCAGTAAGCTAAAGGGCTGGGCAGGAAACCTACCTGAAGCAAGCGGCCACATGGGTCCCTGGTGTCGCCCTCCCTCCGCTACCCTCTATTCTCACGGTGCACCTTACCCGGCCTACCCTTCCTGCCCACTGAGCCCCGGCCCAGAATGGGACGGCCAGGACTCCTGACTCGGGCACTTGGCACAAGGGGGCAGCACTGAGCTGGAAGTCAGACGAGGCCAAAGTGCATTTTGGAATCAACTACAGACTTAATAAAGGCCGCGCATGCCTTAGTTAAGACCACACGTTAGGCACATAATCTGATTAGAGTTCACTGTAAATCTATCAGGTTAAGTAAAGTTATTTGATGTCTCTGTGCCTCAGTTTCCTCATGTATAGATTTTTGGGGGTTTTTTTTGAGACAGGGTCTTGCTATGTAGTTTACGCTGGCCTTGAACTTGATTATGTAAACCAGGCTGGCCTTGAATTCATGGTGATCCTCCTGCTTCAGCCTCCCGAGTGCTGGGATTACAGGCGTGCACCACCATGCCCGGCTAGTTTCCTCATATATAAAATGAAGATAATAATACCTACTCTAGAGCTGTTAGATAATCAAATGGGATGATCTATGCAAGTAATAAAAGCTCCATAATACTACCTATTATTACTGAGTAGGTATTGGTGAAATAATTCAGCTATAATACAGTTTTTCCTTCAACGTGGGAAAAGCATGCACTCATGCGTGTGTACAGTTCGTGTGTCCCGCTTGCGTGCGTGTGTGCAGAGAATCACGTCTTCCTGTCCTGGCACAATGGGGAGCGACGGCTGCAGGGAGAGAAGTAGCCACGAGAGGGCAGCCGAGAGCGCTCACCTCGTACTCCAGGTACTCCTTCCGCAGGCGGTACTCCTCCAGCTCGCGCCCGCGCCCGCGCCGCTCAGGTAAGTTCCTCTGCAGATCCAGCAGGTCGTCCGAGGCAGCGTCCAGGCAGTTCTCGTGGGATCGATGCTGCTCCTCCTGGAGGCAGAGGCAGTGAGGGATCTGTCCCTGGACTCCCACCCCCACCCCACGGCACTGTTCCTCCCCTCGCCGGGCCCAGGTGTGCAGCCCTCGCTGGCGTGATTTCCCAGACCAGGTGCACAAGGCCCGTGCAGCCCCGAGCCGCCACCCCGGGACCTTACCAGGGAGTTCTGCGCCGGGCCAACTGGGAGGATGGGCCGCACGAATCGGCGCTGGGAGCCCACGGCCGCGGGGAAGGGCGGTGCCGAGTGTGTGGCCGCTGCCAGGTTGATACGTGCGATCCAGGAAGTCATCTCCTTGGCTGTGCTGTGGGCACGGGAGGTCGGAGGTCGTCAGTCCCCAGGGACAAAGTCAGCACCCTACACCAACACACCAACACACACACACACACACACACACACACACACACACACACCATGCTCTACACTGTCATCCAGCCGCTTAGGACTCCACCCCCCAAAACCGGAACCTGTCACTCACACGGACCTTTCAAGGCGTTTAGGAAGGCAATAGATTTTGTCTGAGACGCCCAAAATGATGGATTGTTACTGACTTCCCGGAGTCCTCCGTTCAGCACTAGCACGCCTGACCCTGATTTACCAGGAAAGGCCGCCGAAATGAGCCAAGCTGGCCCAAGACGGGGAGGAGCGGGTCAAGCCGCAGCCCAGCCTCCCCTGTGCCCCAGCACGTCTTGGGGCTGCAGCCTGCAGGATGCCACGGAGGGCGAGGGTGGCCAAGGCCTGGTCGCCCTCGCCCACTAAGGACTTACGGTGCTTGGAAGAGGTAGAGGCGCCAGTCGGCGGTGCGCAGCTGGAAGACGTGCGGCTTCTTGGTGTAGTGGGTGGCTGGCGTGGCCAGCGCGTGGTGCACCCCAATGGGCTCATCCACCATCTGCCCGACCACACTCTCCCCCTCCAGGCAGTGGTCCTCTCCCTGCCACCAGCACAGGGGTGCTCAGAGAAGACGTCATCAGCTGCCAGCCTCCCTCCCGACAGCCCCGGTCTCTGCCCCCCGGACTCCCCGTCCAGGGGCGCAGGCTCCCTTCCTACCTTCAGGAAGTAAAGAACCATCCCTCGAAGTAAGGTGTGGAACATCTTCCAGCTGCGCTTGCCCCATGGCGCTGTTGCAGGAGCAGACACAGTGGTGGGTGGTGCATCCGCATCCGGAGCGTACACACGGTTCCCCCACCTTCACACCATCTCCAGTCCCCCCAGCAGGATCCATACAAACACACAGGACACAGTGACACAAACACACAACCACAACCGCAAACAAGCAGCGAGTCTTGACATACATGCAGTCCCGGCCAGGGGGAACCAGACACGCAATCTGCACACAGTGTGGATATTCAGACCCACCACTGCTCCAAACGTACACCCATCACCCCAGGTGCAGACACCCAGCCCACCACTCCACTCAGACATCTCCCTGTAAGATGCTCTCTGCGGCGTGTGCCCATCCAGCAGGGCATAGGGCTCAGGGCCCAGCCTTGGCGTGTTCTTCCCTGTGCACCCCTCTGGGGAACCTCCTGCCCTCTCCCACCCTGGCCCAGTGCTCTAAGACCTGTCTGACTCCTCAGGCGGAAGAAAGCCCAGTTCCCCGTGGTCGCCACCCTGCTCAGGTCCCTGTAGCTTCTTACAGCCCCTGCTGGTCCCCTCCTTGGTAGCTGCACCCCATTCAACCTGGGATTCCAGACACAGAGATGGTTTCTCCAGTCAGTCTGCTCAAAACCTTTCTTCTGCCGCCTGGGGAACGAGGCCCACATGCAGACCCTGGTGATTTGGCCCCAGTGTACCCCCTGCCATTCCCTTTCACACAATTCATGTTCTTGGCAAATTCTGCTTCTTTCTTCTTTGCAGGAGATGCCCTCTGCCTGAGCACAAAAATCCAGACCCTCTTCTCCTACTCGGAGCTTTCTCCAAGGTCTCACCAGTCACCTGAAGCCTTCTTCATTCCTGTCCCCACATCCAGTCTTCAGAACAAAATCAACAGCCTTTCCCTCCTCCACAACCCCATACTGGACCCAGCGTTCCCTGCAGACCCCATTCCTCCTGCCCTCTACCCAGACAGCGCCGTGCTTGTCTAGTCTCTGCCTCACCACAGGGGTGCTGGGGCCCCGGGGAAAATACCCTGCTTTGTCCCAGCGCCTCTCTCCACCCGCTCACCCAGTTCCTGGTACACAACCCGTTCGGGGTGTGCCGGGAAGGAACATGGGCTGCCTGTCCTTGACACGGGCCATCTCTCCGCATGCCACGCACACACGGGCAAGGTCCCCACGCAGAGCCGGTCCCCACACACCTCCCTGCTCATGGCAGGAAGCACTTACTTTTCTTGCCGTCCGCGTCATGATGCATCTTCCGTGCCAGGATGCCCTGCTTGTAGGTGGGCACCGTGGGGTCCTGAGCCAGCTGCAGGAAGGGGTTACTCATCTTGCCAGCTGGGGGAGATGGCCGGGCCTTCTCGGGTCTGGCCGCCTCTTCTTCATCCCTGGATGTCAGAGAGTGGAGCAAGGAAGCTGACCGGGTGAAGACCACCAGAAATAGCCACCACCTCCCGTCACAGGGTGCCCCAAAAGGAGTCCTCACTCAAAGTCAGTGTATCAATTCCTGCAAACTGCTACTGCCCTGCACACCCCCAACGACCTCTGACAGCTCTAATATTACCCGAGCTCCTCTTTCCCCCCGAGATGGGCCTAGCGCCTGGCCTCTGGCTCCACCTCAATCTAAAGGAGGAATATCCAGGGCCCTGAACATCTCCAACTCCCAGGGAGATGACAGAGGGAGGAAAGGCCCAGCAGCAGGGGCAAGGGGTAGAGTGGAAGGGCTTCGCTTACATAACCCACTCCAGCTTCTCGCTTCGGATAGACCAGTAGAGGGCCTGCAACAGAAGCACACAAGTAGGCAGAGGGACCTTGGGGCTGTGGTCCCCAAGTCACTGGCAGTCTGCTAGTGTACAGCCTGTCCCTCCACCCCCAACATAGCTGCTCTTCTTCCTTGAGCAGGCAAGCATCCATTTATCTGTCTATCTGTCCATTCATCCACTTATCTATCCATCTATCACCATCCATCCATGCATCCATCTATCTAGCCATCCACCCACCCTCTATCCAACATCCATGCACACATCCACCATCCATCCATCCATCCACCATCCATGCATCCATCTACCATCCATCCACCCATCCATCCACCGTCCATCTATCCATCCATCACCATCCATCTATCCATCCATCCATCCACCCATCCATCCACTATCCACCTATCCATCCATCCATCTATCCACCCATCCATCCACTATCCACCTATCCATCCATCCATCCATCCATCCATCCATCCATCCATCCCTCTATTCATCCATGCAACACATTACCTGTGGAACATTTCCCATGGGCCTGGGCCCATGCTGGCTACTGGAGACATAAAGATGATCAAGGCAGCCAAGCTGCTGCCCTGCCCTAGCTCAGTAAAGCCTAAACTAATCCTTTTGAAGGAAAAGTGAATCACTTGCTACCATCCTGCCCAGAGGGATCTGACAGAGAAGGAACCCAGCTGAACACCTTCCCCCAATGTATGTGTGATACATGAATGAATGATGTACTAGAACTTTGAAGTGATATAACAAATAACATTAACACAGATGCATCTTGCTTGCTTTTGTGGCTCTGGAAGTACCTAGCAAGACATTTGGCACAGAGTGAATAAATGTTTACCAGAGGAATGAGCGAAATGTCAATCTAATCGCATATGAAGTATATGCTATGTGCAGACACTATGCTAAGAAAGCACTGTGCAAATTTTATTTTATTTTGACTGCAAGGTGATTGTTACCCCAGGAGGAACTTGACTTGGTAGAAGTAAGTGATAGACTAGTTTGCCTAAGACTAGAATTCAAACCAGGAACACCCAGTTCCCAGGTTTGAGCTCTAGATTTTTGCTACATAAAACTTTGCTTTTCAGCCAAGCGTGCTGGCACATGCCCATAATCCTAGCACTTGGGAGGCTGAGGCAGGAAGATCATTGCAAGTTTGAGCCCAGTCTGGGCTACAATGTGAGCTGAAGGCCAGCCTGAACTGTAGAGGGAGACCCTATCTCAAAAAAAAGAAAAAAAAAAAACCTTTGCTTTTCACCTACTCAGACAACCAGTAAACTAGCACTTCTGATATTGAAGGAGGAAAAATCACCCTGAAATTTAGTAAAACATTTGAGGAGCCCTAGGTCCAGAGAGTGTGGTTCAGGAGCTCCAGGGCTATGAATCTACAGCTGACAAATTCCAAGACGCTGCCAGCCAGGAATGCACTTGTAGTAGCCCTTCAGGAGGCAAACCGTATCTCCTCAAAGGGAGTTTAGCACAGCCAGACCTGAGCCCCTCATTCCCCTTGGGTCGCAGCCCAGCAGTGAGGTGCCCTCGCTTTACCTTCAGCAGCTCCTTGGGGAAGTTTCCGCCGTCCTGCAGGCCGTTCAGGTTGGTGATGAATTCCTGGCAGCTCATGCTCTTCCCGATGTTCTGTGGCCATGGACGGGAGTGGGACGGCTACAGCACCCCGCCTGACAGAGCACAGCGCCAGGCGGCCCCTCCAGAACTCTCTCCAGTCCCCCAGGGCCCTGTTTGGGCCTCCCAGGCTGCTGCAGCTGACTATCCCCCACCTCCACACCCCTGCTGCAGACGGGTCCCCAGCTGCTCTCCCAGCTTCCTACCTGTCCATGCAGGTCCGTGTTAAGGAGCATGATGGCACAGGTCAAGGTGTGTACAGAATCTGCCCAGGGAGGCCAGTGGAGAAAAGTGCATTAGAACCCAGACTTCTCCACCCTCTGCCACCCTAGGCAGGTGGCCCCCTATTTCTCTGCAGTCCTCAACACACTCTGAGCAGCTGTCCCCCACTGAACTTCCAAGCAGACACAGGGACATTTCTGTGCCCAGGCCCACTGCCCTGACCCCAGGCCAGCCCTCCCTACCAACTGAGGGGAAGGCCTCGGGGTTGCAGTGGTGGAAGCGTCTGGAAAACTGGTAGAGGATCCGCTCCCGCTCCTGCGTCTCTCCGCTGAGCACCAGGGCCTGGAGGAAGCTCCTGCGGAGGAGAGCCCGGGTCGAGGAGAGCCAGGCTGGGACACCTTGCAGACTTTACCAGGTCCCTGAAAGCCCCAGACCTTCCTCCTCCCTAGCCTCCCCAGAGGGCCCGAAAGAGTTATGTTACCTGAGGGCGCAGTCCAGGGTCTGGCCTCCAAACTGGAAGAAGGACAAGTACTCCTCGGCCACAGCCCTGCTGAAGTCATTGCTGCAAAGGGAAATGGGGATGAAGACCACAGCAGAGGTCCGGCAGGGCCCCGGACACAGAGCGCCCTCTAGAGCCCACAGGCATCACGGGCCTGACAGTGGCTGCAGCAAACAAGGGAAAGACACAGCCAGGCTGGACCCCAGGTGCACAGCGGGGTAGCCAGGGCCAGTGCTGCACAGGAGGTTCTCGGGGGCTTGAGGATGGCAAGGGGGCTGGGCCCAGAGGCTCCACGCAAGGATCTTCGCTGTGGAGAAGAGGTGACTGACACCAGTGTGCGCAGGAGAACGCAGCAGGGACAGCGGGGGAGCGGGGACAAGGCCTGGGACGAGGGAGGGGCATGCTGGGGGGAGGGCATGCTGCGGGGAGGGGCATGCTGGGCTGGAGAGAGACAAAGGGGACCACAGGACAGGAAGGGGAGGAGCAGCCAGTGGTGATCTCAGAGATCGCAAGTCTCTCACTTCTTCTGCAGGTAGGCGGCCACTTCTGACTTCCGGAAGCCGTCCAGGTGATAGAGCCGGGAAGCCAAGTTCCAGGCCACTTTGTCATTCCTGACCCCATTTGCCAGCTTGTCTCCAGCTGGTGGCCTCTGGTCTTCCTCGGGAGGCTTTGCCTGCAGCATGGGGCTCTCGGGAGGCCTAGAAGAGTCCATTGGCATCCTCAGGCACACACTCGTGGTGGGCATGCTGGGGTTTGGGGTCAGGTTGTGCAGGGGCGTGTCCAGAGCTTAGGGTTGGAGCTGCAGAGCCTGGGTCCTGGAAGCCTGGCCTGGAGGAGGAGCTACACCTAGACCCTCACCCAGGGAGAGACAAAGTCACAGCCAGCCTGGCCTGGCCTGACCTGGCCTAGGCCAGGACCACAGAGCTCCAAGAGGAGATACTCAGGTAAGATCACAAGGACCAGAGCCCAGTTTGATGCCTGGAACATCCTCAGGTGAACTCCAGGGGTCGTCCAAGCCATCCAACCTCAAGGGGCAGGTATAGCCCGTGAGGACCCCTGCAGGGTTGTATCCAACCCACAGTGGGATGGGACGGCTTCCCTCCCCTGAGGCCATTGTCACAGGCCTCTCGCTCTTCCCCAGCCCAACTCCAGCCTCAGCCTCCACTCCTAGCTCTGGAGCCAAGAAAGGTTTAAGGACGCGGCCAAGAACAGGGAGCCAGACTGGCTTTAAGAATGGCGACAACCAGGAGAGTCGAGGACGAGGTTTCCCATCTCCCCCTGCCCCTGCCCCTTATGTGGTGACTGGCTGGGAACCTATGTCGGTGTAAACAGGCCCAGGCAACTCCACCAGAATCAGAACGTGCTCAGAAGCTAACACTCAGACTCCCAAAAGCCAAGCCAGCCATTTCCACCTCACTATGTTGGGAGCCTCGCAGTGTTACAGCCAGGTGTGGAGCCTCCTAGTCATTTACATATTCATGATCCACGTAGGCACAGATGAGGCCTGTACGGCTGTACATACAGGTAGGCAAATATGAAAAGAGTCGTTAACAAACTGACCACTTAACAGACTTTACTTAACAGCCTCTGCACTTAACACAAGTGTGTCACTTTTTCGCTGAGAACATCTCCACTTTCTGAGGCTCCTAAACATGCCACAGGACAGGACAGATGTGAAGACATGGAAAGTAAAATAACAAATCTTGCAAAAACCTCACAGGATTTCATGGAGCCTGCAAAACTGATGCTCAAAGACTCCAGGAATCATGTGAAAAGCCACTGACCAGTGAGGGACTGCAAGAGTCAGTCGCCTGAACAAATGAAAAGGAAATAAAAATAAAGATGCAACTGTTACGTCAAAGAGAATCATTTCAATAATCTACTGACAAAGGCTTAAATATATATATTTTAAACCAACTTAGTAAAAAATATTGTCAGTAAAATAATGTGAAATAGATGAGGAAGAACTTTAGGGGAGAAAAAACACTGCACAAATACAAATTGTCAGGCAGGGTATGGTAGCACACGCCTGTAATCCCAGCACTCAGGAGGCTGAGGCAAGAGGCTTGCTTCAAGCTTAAGGCCAGCCTGGGCTACCAAGTGAGTTCAAGGCCAGACTGAACTGCGTAGTAAAACCTTGTCTCAAAAAGACAAAAACAGAACAAAACAAAACAAATACAAATTGTCAGGGTTTGTACACTTTACATGGGTATGTGAATTACATACTGTAGGGTATGTGAATTACATCTCAATAAATCTCTATATTTTTAAAATGGTCTTTATGCTCTCCCTGTGAAAGTCAATCACAAGTGAAAGAGGCTAGCAAACTTGTACCAGGAAAATTAAACTTGCTACACTGTGCTAAATATAAGATTAAATAGCTGGGCATGATGGCATATGCCTGTAATCCCAGCACTCAAGAGGCTGACGCAGGAGGATCGTTGAGAGTTCAAGACCAGCCTGGGCTACAAAATGAGCTCAAGGCCAGCCTGAACTGCATAGGAAGACCCTGTCTCTAACAGACCCCTTCCAAAAGAAAAATTAAAGAGAACTTATTTATATAATATTTAGTGACATTTATCAAGATAAAGTCTGAATTAAACCTTTTTTGCATAATTTACCATGAAAGTATAGTTATCACCTTAGGTGCACAGGCCTGCTTGCTTGGGATAGTAAACCTTCCCTTTCCAGACACTGAGACTTCTTTGGTACCCAGCCTCTGAACAGCTTCAGACAGCATCCTTTCCAGAGGCACCAAAAAAACAAAAGGTTCTATGGCTTCTGGCACTGACTGATGTTCTGTCACCATCAACCAAGGGCACTGAGATGGGCAGGGTTATTCTCTACTGTCTGCACCATTAACGACCTGAACCATCACTAGCTTCTGTCTCTCCAGTGTGACCCCTACTCAGCCAATCAGAGACCAAACCCCCTTCCGTGTAGACTTCCCAGGAGCTGAGCATGTGGAGTCCGCATCCTGGGGCAGGCAGACGTCTGCGCTGGTTTCCCAGTTGGCCTATCCCTGAGGACAGGCTACAGTTCTGAGGTCACACCGTCCTGCTGTGGGCACCAAGATGCATTCTCTCAGTCCCAGTCAAACCTCTCCTTGGCAAGATCTGAACCAGCATCCTGGTTTGGTGAATTTCTCCAAGACACTCACTCAGATTCAAAGCCGTCTGTAATCCCCACTGTGCAAGCTCTGACCTTCTACTCCAAGGTCTGCCTATCACAGCCCTGGTCAGGTTCCCTGAACAACTCCCGACTGTCCCTCCTGGGCTCCAGCTGTAGAGACTAAACCTGGCCTTGTTTGCATATGCAAATCCTGCCTCCACGTGTATATGCCTGCTTTTTTTAGCTTCTTGTGCTTTTAAACCCTCAAGTCTTCATCAGAACTCGACTGGTGCCTGGTTATACAATCCTACGTAGTCCATGCAATACCGTCAGCAAGACTGCAGTTAGTATAATACACTGGATCTCATTGTGCATTTGCCCGGCTCCATCTAGACTAGGTCTAGATGTGTGATCATCATGAGGAGCCAGAAGCTGCTTACGTTGAAACTCACCCTTCTGCAGAAGTCCAGTGAATGTCGGGCTGGATGCCTGCAGCCACCGCAGTCCTAGCTGTGCCTTCACTCTCTACTTCCTGCCCTGCGTCTGGGGCCTCCTCAGCCTCATCTTTCTTCAGGGAAGTTGGCTCTACCCCGTCGGTTTCCAGGAGCAAAGGGTGTGAAGCATCTAGTGGCCACTTGGGGAAAATGCCAGGGCTGTGGTGCTGGAGCTGGGGGCTGCCCTCTTGGGAGGACACAGAGGTGGGCCTGGGGCCGGGGCCTCTGCCCTCAGACACAGGGCTGCCAGGGTCAGGCGAGGAGGCTGGGCTCCCACAGGGGCTGGGAACCAAGGTGCAGGGAGCAGCTTCCTGGGGATGCCTGGCATCCCTCTCACCTGAGAAAAAGCACACAGTGAGCAGCCTCAGAGCAGGTGGCTGCTGCCCCCGCTCCCCAGGGACCTCCCCTGGCACTGGGCAGCACGCCTTGTCCTCCCTCATGGAATGACCTCTACTTTGCCTCCAGGCAAGGCAGGGCTTAGCACTTGAGAAGCACATGAAAAGTGCTGGGTCTTTCGTGTGTTCTTTTACTCACTGTAGAAGTATTTGAAAACCCATTTTACTGACGAAGACACAGAAGCAACAGCTAGGTTTAACCCCATGCCTTTCTGCTCCAGTGCAATAAAACCAATTCAAGAAACACCTCTGTCTCCACTCTAAATACCAAAGCTTCCCACCACCCAATTCCCCAGACCCTCATCATGGGTCTCACCTCTGTCCTGGGGCCAGGAAGGACCCTCTTCTGTCTGCCAGCCCTCAGCGCTTGGGAGGACCTGCTGAGAAAGAGGGGGGTGAGCAGAGAAGGGGAGAAGGAGGGGAGAGGTAGAATGCCCAGGTATACAGAAGCCCTGCCCTCTTTGCCAACCTCCCACCCATAGCATGGGTGCCACCCTGATCCTCAGCTCTGAAGCAGAACCCTGGATGGGATAAGACCCACATCTTAGGAGTAGACCCTGGGCCCTGGAAACCAATGGTGAGAGTGAGGCCCAGAGAGGGGAAGTGACTTGCCCATGGCTGCCCAGGATGGGTGGTAGGGCTACAGTCCAGCTCCAGGTGCGCTGTCTCCCAGGTCAATGTTTTGTCTACACAGAGCCCTGCAAGGGAGGCAGGGCCATGCTCATCTTCCAGAGAAGCCTGAGAAAGAGGACGACAGGGAGGACAGGTGAGGTCTGACCAGAGGAAAATGGATGCTGGGGCCTTTGCTCACCTTTGGGGATCACCACCCTCACTGGCTGCCCAGGTGGTCAGGCAGCACTGCCCCCAGGAGGGACTCTTGGAGCTAGGGCGATGGCTCCAGGCACTGGATAGGACAGGCTCTGCTCCCAGAATGGGAGAGAATTCCCAGCTTCAATGCTGGGGCTCCCAGATTTCCCTCTGAGGACCCAGCATCTTGCAGCAAGGTCCAGAGAGAGCTCTGCAGGGCAGAGCTGTGACTGCCCAGCCCGGGGAGCTGGCCTGTGCATGGAGGGCACCCCCCGTGGGACTGGCGAGCGCCTCTGATCTCCACAGCTCGTGGGGACTGGAAAGATTAGAAAGTTACAGCCTCGCATTGCCATGTTGAGGGCCCTTATCTCTAAAACAGAGGCCTCCCTGGGAAACCTGGTCTCCTTACTGTCTTATCTAACTTATCCCATGCCTGGCTGATACCCAGGCTCTCCTGGCACTGTTACAGGGGCCTGAGCTGTTGACACTGGGCAGTGGGAGAACGAAGGACGGTGAGCTGAAAGTAACAAAATGCTGAAATCTCGCAAGAAAACACAGGACAGCACTTCTAACATAGACAGCTCTCTGTTAGGGAAGAGGTCAGTCAGGCTGAGCCCTGCCTGTTACAGTCCCCAGGGTCTTGGAGGCGGGCAGGGAAGGATCTGAGAACGGCTGGGAACATCCTGCAACAGGAGGAACTGTCTGTTCTCCAAATGTATCCAGACAGAGCCTAAGAGCTGCTCAGCTGATGGCATCCGTGCACTTGTCATTGTGTTCAGTCCACATCATGGCACCAATAAAAGTTCCCATAATTCTGAAGGCCACACTAACGATTTCCTCCTATGCTGCCTCAGATTTCAAAAGGCCCCAGTATCACAGACTGCTCTGGGCCTGCTGGCCCGTGAGGAAGGCCCTCCTTCAGTGTCCCCAGCACGGCCCGGTGGCTTTCCAGGACAGAGCTTACCTCGTCTTCCTCCTGAGCAGGAGGTGGTGTGGGAGCCCCCTCGTCAGTGGCCAGCGACGCCCAGCAAAAGGGGTGTGATTTGTAGGGAGGCACAGGGAACGGAGGGGTGATGCACCCACTGGAACCAGCAGTGCTGTCCCTCAAATCCAGCTCACTTTCCAGCTCCCAGGGCCCGTGGTTGCCTGGGAGTGTCCAGTCAGGCCCAGGCTTCACGTCTGCCTGGGAGTCTGGGAAGCCCCAGGAAAAGTATTCCCTGGAAACACTGGTGTCCGAGCAAGGGCTCTCCAGGAAGAGGGGGTTGTCGAAGAACACGCTCTCCTCCTCGGGACCCCACTCCGGGGAGGAGCCTGGAGATCCTTCCCTGGGCCAGGCTTGGTTCTCCACCTCAGGCCCACTGCTGTCCGCCCCAGAGTCCTCCTCCACAGGTGGGCTGGGGCACAGGCCCGCGTCAGCAGGAAGTTCTGAAGTGGACGTGGGCAGGCAGTACCTCAGCCTGGTCCTCAGTCCTTCTGTCTTCTCCAGCTCTTCCTCCAAGTCCAGGACGCACATCTGGGCCTGCAGGATGCCAGCCCAGAACACCACCTGTGTGGACGAACTCTGGTTCTGCGACGGGCTCCCCAGGGAACAGCTGACCCCTTGTGCCTCTGGCAATGCTGCTGTCGGCCTGAGGTCCCCCTGTGAAGAGCAGCTCCCTAAGTGAGCAGGCGCCACAGCAGAGCCTGTGGGAGGAGCCCCAGGCCCAGTGGGTTCCGGAGGGTCAAAGGTGCAGGTGTGTTCCCGGCCTGGGCTGTGGCCCCTCTCCCTCAGGCATGCTCCTGGGCAGGGCTGCAGACTGTCTCCCAAGCAGATGTTGTGAGATTCCACAGGCCGGGGGTGGTCCGAGAGTCTGTCGTCGCCCATGATCCACAGTGAAAGCTCTGTGGGAGCCCACAGGAGCGTCTGGTCCGCTTCACAATCCCATTTTGTAGACTAGGGGGAGCACAGCCAAGGGGGTAAACTTGGAATCCACATGTATCCTGAAAATTGCCCCAAACAGAAGCAAGTTAGAGAAGGGCTCGCAGCACCTAGAAACATACCAGCAAAGCCTCAGCCCTGTCAAGGGTCTGCCATGTCTATGACTGCTGCAAAGGGACACCATTTGTCCTCATGGCCCCACCAGGGGTAAGAGTGTGCCATATGAGCCATCTGACCCCACAGTCACAACATGGCATCACGGCAGCACCTTTCCCCAAAACACCTATCTGGAGGCTGACACAATCCCCTGTGGCTTAGCTGAAAAAGGTGAACTGGTCAAACGAGACCCTTCTCTTGGGAATCTGCATGAGAGAATACAGAGACCAAGAAGGCTGGCAGCAGGAGCAGAAAGGTGGAAACACCTCGAGGCAGTGGCAGGCCAAAATGACACGTAAACTAACATACACGGGAGCTGAACAGAGGTGGACTAGGGCAGGCAGAGGAGCGGGCTTGTGGGAACGTTAGAGACCCAGGGGAAAAGGTCATAGTCAGCCAGGTTTCCAGTGTGCACTGTCCTATCTTTGCAGCCTACATCACTTACAAGGCAGGGTCTCGGTACCTTCCTTGCAAGCTGTACACAGCTGTGCAGCCTGGCCCAGGAGGAAGCAGGAGGAGGTTCTCTGCTAAGCACAGACTGGCCTCTCTGAAGAGGAAGCACCAGCCCTTTTAATTCACTGCCGAGCAGACCACCTGCTGCCTAGAGAGGAGATTCCTGCTCTCTGGGGAGCAATGGGGAAGCCATGGCCAAGGCTCCTGGGCTATACATCTACTAGAGCTGCATCTACTAGAGCATTACACTCAGGGCAGGCTGTTTTTGACACAGCCGAGGAACCTTGCCGGGCACTTCTGTGAAGCATAGATCTCTGAAATCTGCATGTGGATGGCCTGCTCTGCTCTCGGAGTGACCCTGCCTCCCCAGAACTGACTTGTTTTGACCCAAAGGACGCTGTGAAACTCACAACTTGTAACCAGTTTCCCTCTTGGTGCTGGGTTAAGTACAAAGGCCGTGACGTGCATTTCCAGTGCTAACCACACCTCTGGTTTTACTATCAACTTGTAACACCCAGCTGAACTGAGCCATCATGGTGCTGGGTGTGGGAGGCCCACCTGAGGACTGTTGCCAACAACGTAAATCTGTCCACACACTGAAGACCACATCTTTCTTTGCCTCTGCCTCGCCTTCTTCACTTATAAATTTCTATCTTGAAGGACTGCATGCGTGCCTGTCAGCTGTACTAAAATACTGTGGGGACGAGGATGATAACAAACACACACATACCTGTACCCAACTTCTAGTTACATATGACTTCCACACACCCAACACAACAGCCCCTCCTGCCTGTGCAGTTAACCAAGCCCATCCTACGCCACTCATCATACCTGGCACCTGGAGGAAAGGGGAGCCTGTTGTGTCCGTTCACAGATGAGAAAGCCAAAGCCTGAGACCAGAAGGGAAGCCAGGATCTGACCCCAGGCCACCCACCTGCAGCTACCTCTAACACAGAGGGCTGCTGCCTGGGCTGCCTTCCCCAGCACCATGGCTTGTCCTTGTCTGGGGCTCCAGACCTCCCACTGAGGTCCTACCCCAGGCAGCTATAAGAGGGTGGGGCCTGACCTGGGCTCCAGCCACACACGACCTACTGACCGGGGCCATTACTCCACTGCCAGCAGCGGAGAGAGCACAGGACTGAATGCATGACCACATGGGCCTGGGCTCACTCCTCTTCCTGCCCCTGAGAGCTGACTGAATGAACCTCAGTCCCTCAGGGCCCACCTCAGAGCAGACTGGGTGTCTCACATCCAGCCTCAGCCCAGCGCAGCCCATTAGTCACTCTACATATAGTAGCCCTCAGGACTACTACAGATTGACAGCTGGTGGGCAACTTGTAACACCCAGCTGAACTGAGCCACCATGGTGCTGGGTGTGGGAGGCCCACCTGAGGACTGATGCCAACAACATAAAAAGGAGAACAGGAGAAGAAGAGAAGCTGTTGTACCAATTTTGTTGTAATTTGGGGTTTTGCAAGGGGAACAATTTAATACAGGACATAATTCATAGAATTATTTTATAATAGTCATCCAAAGAGTCATACACCGCAAGAATGCAGGAAATCTGTCCACACACTGAAGACCAAAGAATCTAGCTGAGGGCCTGAATCCCATGCTAATGTCCTGCATGAGTCCAGCTCAAGACCTAAAGCCCACAACAATGTGAGTGCAACTAGTGGTCAACTTGTAACACCCAGCTAAACTGAACAACGTGGTGCTGGGTGTGGGAGGCCCACCTAAGGGTTATTGCCAACAAAACAGAAAAAGAACTGGAGAAGAGGAGAAGCTGTTAGGGAAGCTATAGGGAGATACTAGTTTTCCTGGAGGAGGTTGTCCTGCTGGCTTTCCTGATGAACTCGGCTGTTCTCATCGTCAAAGGAGCTCAGGACCTTACTGTCGCTGAGAATGGCTATGGTTCACTTTGGGGGAGCTCTGGTCCGCACTTTGAGCATCACTTCCTGGCTCTGGAGGAGAAGACGGTGCACTGCTCAGTCTCCTGGAGAAGCCTGTCACATTGGCTTTCCTGATGGGAACTCAGCTATTCTCATTGTTGGAGGAGCTTGGGACCTCACTGTTGCTGAGGATGGCTGTGGTACTTTCCAGGAGAGCTCTGGTTCTTACTTTGAGTATCACTTCCTGGCTCTAGTGCAGATCCCTCAGCCTGCTAGCACAGATCCTTCATCCCACTGGATTCCACCACTGACCTTTGGGCCTTCACAGTGCACATCTGTGAAACAGGCCTGCATGAGACATTGTCATGGGCTCTAGGTCTTCAGCTGGACTCATGCAGGACATTACCATGGGATCCAGGCCCTCAACTGGATTCTTTGGTCTTTAGTGTGTAGACAGATTTCCTACACTTTTTGTATATGACTCTTTGGGTGACTATTATAAAATAATTCTATAAATTGTGTCCTATATTATTCCTTTTGCCAAACCCCAAACTACAACACATACTCAGGCTGCCTAGAAGGTGTGGCTTTACTCATAGGTGCCAGAGAGAGGATAGGTAGGGCTAATATGCAATATGCATGTCAGTTTCTTAGGCATCTTTAAAGCACCCTTCTAAACATCCCTCAAAAATCACCATCCCCCTGTCCCTGATGCTCATTTCTCACTTTCAGTGTAACCTGGACCTGCTGAGTGACAGCCTCGAGATTCTGAAGTTGTGGCCCACCGAGACAGGTCCCTGAGCAGCCTGCAGGGTTCCTCCATCATTCAGTGATGTCAGCCTCCCCAGAAGACCGACTCTGGGAGGACAGGACCATAATTTAGGTTGCTTAATCTTGGATTTGGTGCTCTGAACTAAACTGATTGAAACTGACTTGCTCGTCACTCCTCTCCAACCATGTTAGCTCAGTCTCCATTCATCATTCTGGGTTCCAGCTCTGCATGCCATTCTCCATCCTCCAGGCTACAGGCTGAGGAGTAACAAATAGCGTTTTCTCCCTGTTAGGGTTTATATCTAGACAAAGAGCCTCAGGCACCCACAGGTGAGGCTTTTGGACGGTGATTAAATCAAATGGGGCCGTATAGCTGACTTCCTGTTAAGGGGGAGGGGTCTGATCAGAAGACACAGGACATGGGTCTTCAGCTCAAAGCGTGTATCTCCCTCCCTGGCTACTCCCCTCACTCTCACTGCTTCCTGGCTGCTGTGGTGAGGGCAGTTTTCATTAGAGGTAGGTCCTTCCCCTATTCTGCTTCTACCTTGGAGTCAAATGACTATGGATTGAAACTTCTAAAACATGTGAGCCACAATAAACTTCTCCTTTAACTTGTTGGTATTGGAAACTGACTTTCCAGCTACACAACAGCAACTAAGACACTCCTTAAGTCAGAGGAGCAACACCTGCTACATTATTCCCCCATGAAGCTGCCCATTTGCTATCCTCACTGCTCTCTCAGGACCTGCTGCAGTTTGGCTGTGGAATGTTCCCCAGTGGCCCATGTTTAAAGGCTTGGTCCATAGCTTTACAATACTGGGAAGTGGTGGAAACCTTAAAAGATGAGCCACCTCTGGAGGTGTAGCTCAGCATGCATGAGGCCCTGGCTTCAATCTACAATCACACACACACACATACACACACATGCGTGTGCACATGTGAGGCAGGGCCTGGTGGGAGGTCTTTAGGTCACTGGAGACCTGCCCTCCAAGGAGACTGGGGACCCTTGTCTCTTCTCTCTCTCACTCTATGGCCATGAGAAAGCATGGTTACAATGCTATGTGCCCAGACCATGATGCGCCTGCCTTGCCACAGGCCCAAAAGCAGTGGGGCCAATGAATCATGCATAGGAACCTCTAAAACTATGAGCTAACATAAACCTTTTCTCTATAAGTTGCTTATCTCAAGTATACATTACAGTGATGGAAAGCTGACTAGCACAGGATGCATTATCTATACTCAGGCAACTTCCCTGAGCCATGAACCCTATTCCCCAGGCCTGGAGAATGACGGCATGCCAGTAGGGAGCTGAAACGTCCCACCACTGCTGGCTCCTCAGGTAAAGGGTCCATAGGGTGCAAGAAATGCCCAGAAACAATGCTCTACCTAGGAGGTCCACCTGGATGACAGGTGCCTGAAGATGGAATAACCCAGGCTCTGACCGCTTCTCTTCCCAGATGCCAATACCATTCTCCCTTGCCTCTCCCTGCTAAACCCTGCTCCACTTGTGCTCACTGGATATCCCGCCTGTGTTCCATCCCTTCTCTGGTCCTCAACTCCCAGCCCCACACATTGTGCTGCCCTCCTCCAGGATGACATCAGCTTACCTACTGTCACTACTAAACTCACTTGACAGGACAAGTGCACCTGCCAACAATGACAGTAGGGGCAGAACTGGTGGAGGGGGTGTCCTGACATTTTTTGTATAAAGCCAGAGGCAGTCTCACATGTCTCCCCTTGAAAATACATATTCATAAATACACAGAGCGGGGAGGGAAATGAATGTACAA